CACATGACAATGCAAGATGCGTGACAGGCCTGGTTAAGAGGTGCGAGTATTGCAATGTATTGACCCCCCACCTTTTGTGGAGTCTAATACTCGTGACAGAATTCACAGAGTCATTCACTTCAGATTTCTTCGCAAGTGACACGTTTGTTTGTACCCCACCTCCTCCCCTTATTCCAGCCACATGTCTTTGTTTTAGCTCAAGTTAATAGTTGATTTTGTTGGCGTTGTTTTTCAGCCCTCACCTTTACTGGGCAAGCTATTTTTCCCAGATTCAAATATTTTGGGTAATAATTGATTCAGTTTTGATTACTGATTAAACCGGCTTTGGGCCTTTGCCCTCAGCCATTTTTACTCCAGATCAATGTGTTTGTGTGATTTTTATGTGCCCAGTAAACGAGCCCGGGAGATGCAGCCCAGTATTTTAGTTTCTTAGCAAGCTGGATAGGGGGAAAAAGCATAAATACCCTCGCAGAAATGCGTTAAACCCTAATTATTTTCAAGGCAAGGGAGTATAGAATAAATAAATAAATAACACTGGAGATCAGGTATTTATCAGCTATAATCAACTTCAAATTAATCAGAAATACCGAGTACTTTTTTAGAGTAGAATTTACATAACCTGCCTTTATACTTTACTTGCGGTTCTTTACGCGTCACTAAATTTACTTAATTTACAACTTGACTGGTTTTTTTTAGTACCCTACGACTGAGCTAGGGGAATTAAGTGGATTATATAAAGCCGGGTGGTGTGCGCACTCCGATTGCGTTGCATTATGGTAGCTTCATTTTCAATATGGCGATGAGAGCAGCAAAAATCGGCAGATTTTGACTGAACATTCCGTAAACGTTAGGCCGTTCTTTTTTCCTTTCACCGTGAGTAAATGTAATTTGATTTGTTCTGAATGTGTAAAAGTATTTTTTGTACGTATTTGTCGCGCATTCTATAGTTCCTAAGGACAAACGCAATCACTGTTTTTCAGTAAGTAATTTGAGACCGGTTTTCGAAAAGGTCAAATTTGATGTACGTCGTAGTTTGGAGCCTTTCAAAGATTTGGATGGCCACTTTGATCCTTCTTCAACAGCTCTGACCAAACGCTCTCAAAAGGTACATGTGTTTCTCGCATTTTAAGTGATAATGTTTGAGACCGATTATGGCCGAGAACAGGCCTATTGTTGCGTTACATAGCGTTACTATCGTATACTCAATTGTGTTGTAAATCTACTTTCCAAGGTAAAAGGAAATTTATTAATGGCGAGTGTTGTATGGTAAATCTACTCTCTTGATCACTGAATGAAGGACAGATGAATAAGAGCAACGAAAGAAGTCACTCGCCAATAAATAACAGTCCACAATGCACACGGCGACACAACGGATAAGCCGGAAATCAGAAGGTAGTCGATGGTTAAAAGGTGTTGATTGGCTTGTGCGACTCCTGCCATTCGCTTGCGCTTCTAAATCTTCTGACCTGAAAGCTTAGCTGTTATCAAGATATCTTTTAATGAATTTTGTTTGCGATGTGATAATCGGCTGTGAGTGTAACTGCTGCTAAATGAGTAGATTCTTGGGAAAGGCTGCAGTTTCGATTCTTTCTGAATCTCTTCAGTTGCCTCCTAATAACGAATATGTCACGGAGGAATAGCACTCTTTAACTTTCGAAGGAACGGAAATCGAAAAAAAAGAAGAAGAGCAAAGAATGATTTATCTTGCTAAGGACATGAAGGAGATGACACTAAGGTGAGTATTGGCTCTTTACGGGAGGGTGTTCCGACTTGCCGGTTCATGGTTTTTAGTAACGTTTTGTTCAGTTTCAAACTTAAGCTCGATCCTGGAGTGTACGTTTCTCGGTTATTTTAAATCTTAGTAGTGTAATAAGAAAGTGTCTACCTCCATTTTTCCAACCCCAAATTTACCCCAAAAAAAAGTATACATAAAAACATGCAACAATACAAACATTCTATTTTTATTATATAAGCTCAATACACTTTCGTGTTTCTATTTTAATTGGTCGTTTGTAACTAGGAAAAGGAACAGAACTCATATGAAATATGAAAATCTTGGTTATTAATGTATTGATAGATCCACCAATCTAATCAACTCTTAAAGCTATTAAAAAACTGCAACAGTTCACTTTTAACAAAATAATCAATGCTTGTTGATTTAACCTTAGTTTTTAAACGGCCTGACCTAACCCTCTTTATAGACTGCAAAAACCATATTCTTAATTTGCAGTCATAACAAGAAAAGGAAGAGGAAAAAGGAGTAAGTAATGAAGAAGAAACATTAGAAAATGGAGATAAAGGAGGGAATGGAGGAATACCAGCTGGAGTAGTAGAAAAAGAACATGAGGAAATGAAAGGAGAGAGAGAAATTAAAGAAAAAGAACAAGGTACACAGAAAAGAAGGAGGGACAGGAGGACAACAGCCAAAAGAAAGAAGGCAAAAAAGGACCCTTCAACATAAGAGAAATTTGGTAAGATTATGAGTACGCAGAGTGTAAAAGTGTAATACAGATAAATGCTGCAGCATTTAACACATATTTAAACTCTTTATGTAATGCGTGCAACAGTGAAAAGCTTTCAATCAAAAGTCTGTCAAGGAAAAACAAGAATATCAAAAATGGATTATGTACATAGGCTAGTAACAGTTGGATTTTGTTCCTGAAATCAAACATGCTGACAAGAGATTTACAATTATAATTAGCAGAACAATTTTATGATTTGTAAACACATTGATTTTGTTTTTGAAGGATTGTGATGGCACCTGGAATTGAGAACGACGAAAATGGCAGACTTCATATTAGTTAATTTATTATTCACCTCCTCAACTTGTATTAATTTCATGAACAGGTCATAAAATGTTCAATTCAGTTAAAAAAAAAAAAGTGAACTAGCATTTTTATAATGTCTAATTGTACAGCCCAAAATGTCTTCCTTGTGTTTTTTTGTCATGACTGCCAATTAAAGATATGGCTTTTGCAGTCTATGAAGAGGGCTAGGTCAAGCCGTTTAAAAACCAGGGTTAGATCAACAAGCATTGATTATCATGTTAAAAGTGAACTGTTGCAGTTGTTTAATGGCTTTTTGGTGGATCTATTAACACATTAATAACTGGATTTAACATTTTAATACCTGTTAATAGTGGAAACCTCTTTGCTCTCAACTATTAAACTAATTCCTGAAAATTACTCACTTTTCAAAAAATTGGCAAATCTGTCTTCATCTAGCAAACATTTAATCAATCTTGATTCACAAATACATTTCTCTAACTGGTATCAATAATATCGCAGTGTGATTGTGTTATGTAATATCTGAATAGAATGAGTGAAACAAACACAGTATTTCATTAGAGTTCTGTTCCCTTTCCTCGTAACAGAAGACCAATTAAAATAGAAACACGGAAGTGTATTGAGCTTATATAATAAAAATAGAATGTGTGTATTGTTGCATGTTGTCATGTATACTTTTTTGTGGGGTAAACTTGGGGTTGGTAAAATGGAGGGAGACACTTTCTTATTACACTACTGAGATTTAAAATAACCGAGAAACGTACACTCCAGGATTGAGCTTAAGTTTAAAACTGAACAAAACGTTACTAGAAACTATGAACCAGCAACTCGGAACACCCTCCCGCAAAGAGCCAATGCTCACCTTAGTGTCATTTCCTTCATCTCCTTAGCAGTATAAATCATTCTTTGCTCTTCTTCTGTCACTCTTCTTCTTCTTTTTCGAATTCGACCGAAAACATACTCCTAAAAAGTCCCGAATTCACGAACTAAACTCGACAAATTTGCCAGAAACATGGCCACTCTCGCTCGTCCCATGCTCCCTCCTAAGTCTTGGTAACAGATTACCTCTCATTTGCTGAATGAAGATTAAACCGAGCTCGATACCAAACCGAGCTCAATATGAAACCGATAGAAAAAACCGTGCTCGATAGAATACGAGGTAAACCGAGCTCGTCCTTTTAATCGAGCACGATATAGTTGAATCGAGCTCAAATAGAATTGACCGCATTTCGAGCTCGTTGAACCGAGGTTGGTTTGAAATCGTACTCGAATTGCTATTCGAGTACGGTGAACATGAATCGAGCTCGGTTGCCCAGATACTAAATGTGGTCCGGAACATGGGTATCCCGTAGTGCGAATCTAAAAACAGACTCGAGAGACTTCTTTGGTATCTTGATTGAATCTCCTGACAAAGGTGATAATTTGAAGAGGTAGTCACTTTATTTCGAGTGCAATTTGGTATAATTCAGCACGAGTAAATTTTTCAAAGGCTATCCACCGGCGGCCCAGACTCCAGCTGTGAGATGATTATCTTGCTAAATAATATTTACGACCGCTATTAGGAATACAAAATACAGTCAAATTCTCAATAAAAAATACCTTCCTTTACCTCCAGAATGCCTCGCTTGCTATCTGACCGCTTACTTTGATGAAAAAACCCATTTTAGCGAGTTATCCATTTCGAGGTTTTCTACGTACGTAAGAAAAGCCCAAGGCTGCAGACTCCATTTCCGAACGCTCGATCCGAGAAGCGAAGAATTCAACCTCAAAATGGGCTTTTCTTTACGAGTGCTTCTATTGCTGCGAGGCAAAATTGTTTTACATGCAAAGTTTCGCATGATTAATTTCACACGTTTGAGAGGAGATAAGGTTTACACACTGACACAGAGTTTCTTGTGATAAATAAATTGTTTAGCCTTTGACATGCCCCTATAGTCATACATGATGTGCATGTGATTTGTTGCAGCTCTCCAGGTGAAAAGTTTTCAATTGCGCTGTTTAAAGAAATGAAACCACCTGTACTGCCTCGTTCAACTTTTGAATATATTTATATATTTTTTATTAAATCGTTATGTTATTGTTTTGTTTTGTTTTGTTTTTATCCCTGCAGACTCTCATAACTGATGTTTACGGATAAAGATCATCAACTCTCTAGAAAATAAAAAGTGTGGATGCCACATCATTTCAACAATTCATGGTACAAAAATTGTTGCAATGTATCCAAACAAACGGAATTTCGTTTTAGCCGTGATAGTTGTAATACCATACATTGGCTTGTTAATTTGGCTCACATCCAGTCTTCGGATTGATTCTATAAGGCATTTCCACAAGCTTACGAACCCAACTTTTGGGAGGAAGCACTACTTCAACGAGAATTTAAGGCTCTTAGCTAAAGAACTCTCCGAGACACAGCGCAGCCTACAACACTCGCAATTACATTTCTACCGTTTAGAAAAACATATTCAACTTGTCAAGGAGTTAATAATATCCACTGATGGAAATTTAACTGATGATCTAAAAAAAAACAATTCAGCGGGCAGTTCTTCCGTAAACTATTTGCTAAAGAAAGAGGTTTGCGCTGAGAAATTCATGGCACCGAGTTGGGAGTACGTGTTTCCCCGGTTTAGGAAAGGTTTCGACCGAGTAAATTGTTCAGACTTTGTTCCACTGGACCAGCTTGTGACCATGATTGTTACATCACCTGAAGAGATCTCGACCGAAAATTTACAAAAAATTTTTAAAGGCATCGTAAACTATTATCCAAGCGTACCAGTAATGTTTGTGTCCAAGTCGAAGACAAATTTAAACTTAAAAGAATTTGGGTCAAACATAACCAACGTGGTATTCGATGACCTAACTCACGGAAAAACATGGTCGATGTTACTCAAAACAGTATCCACGCCCTATGTACTATTTGCACGGGATATTACATACTTCACTGATGATGTAAATGTGGAGCGACTCATTCGGGTGCTCAGCGAGAACAAAGATACAATCATTGCAGGAGGGAGTCACAAAAATCAACGTGGCGAATGGGACAAAGGCTGTTTTCAAGTGAATTTCAGAAACTGGGTTGCTTTTTTTCTGGATGGTTATTATCGCTCGTTTACTGATTGTTTAGTGTGTGACGTGCTTCCAGGTCCATTTATGGCGAAGACGAAAGAACTCAAGGCACTTGGATTTGATGAAAAGTGAGTCTGCACATTTATATCTGACGAGGAATATCAACTGATATTCACATGTATCCAAATAGGACTCGATTATTGTTTGTTTGTTTGTTTTTGCGATAAAAGCGAGGCGTAAATTTAGGCGGAGAAGGGAGAAGATCGTGATGAGATTTTTCTCTTCTCCAACCCTGTCTCTTTCACACCAATCTTTGTTTTAGGGAGGGGAAACAGTTTCGATTTCAAGAAATGTCGCAGACTTCTTTTGTTCACTGTGGCTTTCCTTATTAAAGACCCCGGAATATAGCTGCGTAAGAATGGGCGAAGCCATTTGAATGTTATTTCTCGGAACGTATTTTATCCGGTATAAACTTAAAAGGTGAATCATCCATTTTGGGTTTTAAGTAGAAAATGTCTTGTTACTTCTTTTAGAGTTAGGCATTCTTCTCAACGTAAGTTATGAGTTACACCATGGTTATCAATTCTAAGCTTCTCACAAATGCTTACGGAAGCGGGAGCTCTTTCTGAGCCTCTATGAAGTTATGTTAAATTCAAACTGACATAATAGGCTCCAAATGGTTTTGTGTTGTTATGGCGTATTTTTGTCTTAAATGATCTGCGAAAGGTGAGTGACTCTCTTCCTGCCCCAAATGGAGCCATTAGACCATATTAGTCTCTGACAGCTGAAAGCTTTTGACCTCTTCTATTGCATTCTCTTTCCTAGACTGCCTTTTGGTGCCTTTCTTGATATTTTCTGGCGAATAAAACTGAAACATCCAGAGAAAGTCGTTGTCAGCTGTCCAGACGTTATGTTTGAGACTCACGTGCAGGAAATTCCGCATGAAAAATATGTGGCCTTGGCTAACAAGTGGGATGTCAAAAAATGGATCAATTCCGACGGAACGATCCGCTGGTATGGCTGTAGGAGAGGCGGGCGGCCCAATGATAACACCGCTAGTTGTAGGAAACAGTTAGGACTCCTTGTCCCTCCTTGTGATTTGGAGAATCTCGCAGATATGATCAAATTTGTCATGAAGGAGTGTGAAAACGCAGGGCTTTTGTGCGAGTTAAATGAAGGATCACAATTAGGTAATGTGACACCTGACCTCCTATTCTACGAGGGAGGTTTTGTTTTAATCCTTCGAGTCCCTCGTGTGACCTTTTTTTTAATTCATTGATATTATTTGTTGTTTTATTTTTTTATTTTCCAATGGGATCATTTATCAAATATTCCACAACGCTAACATAACGTGCATGGACTACAATGCCAACATTTTGTATGAAATTACAACCTTATTTACAAGTGTTATGCAAATATTACTTTCATAGCTACCATTTAAAGAAGTGCAAAACTTACAGTTTTTAAAAGATTCAATGAAGCTGGAAAATTCTTAAAATATTTTTTTTCGGTCACTGGTTCTACGAACCCGAATGTAAGACCAATTTTTAGAGAGATGTAGATGGAAGGCGACTCTTTCATTTGCTTTTAAAAAACTCAAAATTTTTATTTTCAAAGTAAGGATTCGGGGGCGAATTATCTGGGATGTCTGCGTTCCCTCCGTTTTTGTTGAGTATAAACATAGCGAGTAGATAAAAAAAATAGTACTTGAAACAAATCAGATGTTTTCAGATGTTTTGGCCACCTGTCATCTGAAAAAAAAAAAGAAAAAAAATTCTCTTTGATGATACATCGGTCGAAGAATTCGTGGGCTGAAAAGCGCACATTTACGTAGCTCCATTATCTACCCAAAGAATTCTGCGGTAGTTCTCGCAAGTTAACAAATCGAATTCCCCAAATTGAAGTAAACGTAAAGAAGGCATTTCTACATCTGGCCTATATCAAGAGATTATAAACTTGCCGAAATTCAATATATTAAAGTTCACACGGCAACGTTAATATATTTTATTTGCAAGAAAAGTATAGTCAAACTGTTGTTACAAGGGTCAACCGGCTCGCGAATATCAGATTCCGCATTGCTAAGTATCGCTGTCATTTTTATTTCAATCACCGTTGTAAAGAAAACTATGTGCTTCCATCGAGTTTGAGATTTCGGCCTCCTTTACGGCGTGCAAAAGGATACAAGCTCATGGTCCGTACTGGTTTTTCTTTTCTCAAGCTACGAATAGATGAATGTCACAGTTCCATACTGTGTTTGCGTGCGTTATTCTCTCGTTCTCTCAGTGAACTCTCTGCTTTGATTAACAACTCCGAAACTTCCTGGGTCGAGGAGTTATGCAGTTCGAAAGAACTGCAGACGTTTACCAAACACGACAGAAAATTCTGTCATTTGCTCAGTAAGAGGTCTCCTGTTAATTCAGGCTCATCTCTGAAAGATAAGTGGGTCACGAACCCTTCCTTTAAGGAGTTATCTGCGCTGGAACGGCGTGGTTTAGAGAAGGGTCTGAAGTTTACTAGTGCTCCTCGCAAAATACTGCCGAAATTGTTGCTGCTGTATCTCTCAACTCAACGACGATCGTAGGCATTTGGTAAGAGCAAAAGTAAGCAGCATACTCAGGCGTGCTAAACCTCCCACCAAAAACATTCATAAGGATGTTTTCAATGCGCTTATAGCTCTCAAAAAGGATCCGAATAGGCTCGTATTACCTGCTGACAAGGGTAATTGTGTTGTGGTTATGGACAAACAGCAATATCACGACAAAGCTCTGTCTCTGCTTAACGACAAAAGTACGTATACTGTCTTAAACTCTGATCCTACCAGTAAAACTTAAAGAAAGTTAAACAAAATGTTGCTTTATTTGAAAAAAAGCTGGTAAAATTGGTGACTCTACGTACAAAATGTTACACAGTAGTGACGGCTTATGTCCACGTTTTTATGGCTTACCTAAAATTCTTAAACCGGGAATTCCTTTGAGACCCATTTTCTCTTTTTTGTTAATTCTCCGACTTATGCAATTTCTGGTTATCTTGCGAGAATTTTGTCGCCTGTTGTTGGGAATACTGATTACACTGTCAAAAAATCCTGCGAATTTGCGGATTTCATAAGAGATAAAACTCTTAACGCTTGTGAAGAATTAGTATCTTTCGACGCTGTTTCGCTCTACACTAAAATCCCAGTTGATTTTGCCGTTAAGGTTGCGGAGGAGAGACTTAGAGAAGATGCTTCCCTAGGACAAAAAACTTCTTTGCCTGTGGAGGATATTATTCATCTGCTGTCTTTTTGCCTCAAAACCACGCAATTTACATATAATGGCACCTACTATCAACAAGTTTTTGGTACAGCGATGGGTTCGCCCGTCTCTGCTGTCATTGCTAACATGGTAATGGAAGATGTGGAACAAAGGGCCTTAGCTACTTCACCGGTTAAACCCTTTTTCTGGAAACGATATGTCGATGATGTTATTTCTGCGGTATCTGGAAATGAGGCGGAGCGCCTCCTGTCGCATTTGAATTCAGTAGAGCCGTCGATCCAATTCACCCTTGAGCGTGAAAAGGATAGACATTTGCCCTTTCTTGATTTAAATGTGTCCAGAAGGGTTCAGGGTATTTTAGAGACAAGTGTCTACCGTAAACCTACCCACACCGACAAATACCTCGCTTTCGATTCTCACCACCCTATTTGCCATAAAAAGTCTGTAGCCAAAACTTTACTTAGGAGTGCTGACTGTCTACCATCTTCACTCGATTCGAAGGCTGGGGAGAGGAAATATGTTTCTAATGTCCTAAAGGCAAATGGCTATACAAAAACCTTTCTCCGTAACTGCCAAAAACCAGTTACAACTAGTAACGCTCTCGATGAAAGGGAACCAGCGACTGGTTTTGCTGTTATTCCTTACATTCAGGGTGTTACGGAACCCATCAAGAGAATTTTGAATAGCCACAACGAATACATCAGACAGACCAAACGTCTGTTTGGTACACGTTTAAAAGAGCATGAAAAAGCGGTTTTCTTTTGCAAAAAGGAAAATTCAGCTTTATCGGAGCACACATGCCTAACTAACCATACAATTGCGTGGGATAATTCTAAAATTATCATCACTAATCGGCGTTACCGCCAGCGCCTTTGTTTGGAGGCTTGGCATATTAACTTCGCCCACGCTCCTTTAAATCATGACGATGGCGGTTTGCTTCCTGACGCCTATTTACACCTCGTCAGAAAAAGGCCGCTAATTAGCAATCATATAAAAGGACCTCTTGTTGCAGCGTTTAGATTACCCCTGATGAAGGCACCAGACAGGAGTGTCGAAACGTTGGGTCCATGAATTGTAACTTCTTTGGTTACATTCATTAAATCTGTAAACCAGAGTAGCATCAAACCATGTCTGATTGCCGAAATTCATTGAACCAAGTTTTCTTCTGTTCTAGGTGCTGTTAAGACCAATTTTTAGAGAGATGTAGATGGAAGGCGACTCTTCCATTTGCTTTTGAAAAACTCATTTATTTTTTTTCCTATATCTGACCTAAATCAAGAGATTATAAACCTGCCTAAATTTATTGAACTAAGTTTGCTTCTGTTCTAGGTGCTGTTAAGTTCCAGGGAGTTTTACCGTGGGAGCTTGATGCAGACATTCACTTCCCTAATGATAACTTTACGGCCATGTTCGGGCTTATTCCAAGATTCAAAGCAGCCGGTTACAGAGTTATTTCAGAAAGAACAGAGGGATGGAGGAACGGTCATAAGGTCTTGGGTGCTATTTTACTATATAAAAACGGATGGAAACTCGAACTTTATGGTCACGATATCTTTCAGAGCGCGGAACTTATCGCAAGCGGTCAAAAGCCAACAAAGGTCAAGTTTGCTGGTATGTGGTTGAATGCTTTTCGTAACCCAGGACTCTCCATGCGGAATCGCTACGGGCCAGAGATATACCATCATGTACAACATTCATCGTCAGGTGTATACAAATCGGGAGTCTTTCCCAAATGTCCCACGCCGGGTCACTCAGCATGTCTTGATCAGCTTCCTGCCGACGGTAGTTTACAGTTCAGCGACTTTTCCATCCAGTAAACTAAGATGCCTCCTCACTGAAAATGGATATTTGGTTATTGGAATTGAGAAATGGTAGCCATTATATAGTTTTCTGTTCTTTGACATAGTGTCGTAAGATGTTCCCAATCATCACTTTTTTCCCTTATTAACAAGATTTGTTTTGCTTTCCCGTGAAAAATATATTTAAAGCTGACAGTGTAGTAACTATTTTTAAAGAAATCACGAACAACTTGTTTTATTTATTATTTGGGAATAGTGCATTTATCATAAAAGTTCCATTAGTACAGCTGTAGCCGCAACTTGATTTAATAGACAAACATGCCAAGCTTACAGCTTCTTCAAGCTCACTGAGTTCGAGTTAGCGGGGTTCTACCGTATTCTATAATCATCCCAATATACTTTTATTTTCTGAATTTATGGAAGAAGGCGGTAGCTTTGGTAACTTGATTCAAGTCCGACGATAAGTTTCCTATGACTTTTATAGTGCTGGCGTTATTTTTGTTGCGTCAGGTTGAAACCTATAATACCCAAGAATTTAGAAAGAGAAAAGACAGTGATCGTGGAAAGAGCAAATAACTTGAAACTTGGAACTATTTCCTTTGTTTTTTAGTTCAGTTTGATTCATAGGTTAAGTGTTATAAAAATTGTACCGCGTTAGATTGACAACCCAGTGAGTGGAACCTTTAGAAACAGGCAAACAGGTCTGCGATGAGCAATCCGAACTAGACATGCCAACTGTAGGGTCATACAGTTGTTTAGTAATAAAGAAGGTAAAATTTCAGAGAAAACTTCCATTTTTTCTTAAATACTTAATAATATTATGCAATATATATATATATATATATATATATATAGGAAGTCTGTGTATTGATTTTTCTGTTCTACAGTGTTTGATATGTAGAAGTAGAGCGCGATATGTTTATATGCGCGATATATGTTGCGATAGGGGAAAAAACAGAGAGTGATACTTTCATCTGGACCCTTAAAGAAAATAACATCAACCATTATATTTCATGGCGCATTCTTTCATCAAGATCGCCCTGCAACAGCGCAAACAAAAGATGCAATCTCTGCCTCAAAGAAAAATTACTCATCATTCGCCGACCCCAATTATCATCACTCAATAAACGTAATGAGCTCGTGTCCTCGTGCCGCCACGGAAGCAAAACGTTACTGCGTAACAATTGAGTATTATTTTTATGCAAATTTATAAAGTGGAGAAACGATGGTACGAATATTCTTAACAATAAAATCCCCTGATGAGTGAGCAATCACGAAACAGGCTTGTAGAGATGAAAGTATAGTCTCTGTTTTTTTCCCCCTATCGAAACATATATATATATGTATATATTTATATATATATATATATATATATATATATATATATATATATATATATATATATATATATATATATATATATATATATATATATATATATATATATATTTATATATATATATATATATATATATTTATATATATATATATATATATATATATATATATATATATTTATATATATATATATCGTATTAGACGATTTGGTGTGTAGTATCGCCGAGTATTTTACGAGTTGTGCCGAATTTTACAGTACAAAATACAAAATACAACAGAGTTGTTTCCTGTGATGGTATGTTTGTCAACATACAATGTTGCCTATTGGAGATATTTGTGATTTAAAAACCCTAGTTTTTTCTTTTTTGAAAGAGTTGCGTGACACAGTTAATGATTTACTGCTCTAAATTGGTATTCCTTAAGGTTCAAACAACCACTGGACAAAATAAGATTAAAATTCATTGCGTTCTGTTTGTCTGAAGAGATTCGTTGGAAGTGTATTTTCCGAGCTAACTTTAACCTTTTACCCCAGGGATTTGATGTGAGGGTTCAAATACCCCAGGAATTAGGCGTGAACCCGAAACACCTCTGGATTCTTGAATAACTTATTAACCCTCATAAACTGTAAAAGTTTGAAAGAAATCGGTGAGATGACATGTGTCACGCTTGTCCGATCCTCTCGTGGATAGACTCTCAACACTTCGAATACTTCAAAATATTTTGCTTGTTCGGTTTCCTTTTCTCGGGTAAGAACGTTAAAATCTACCTTCAGTTCCCTGTACATCAGTAAATGGCGCGTGTGAATGACGTAAACAACACAGAAAGTCATTGCCTGTCTTTGATTTCCTTGGATGATGCAGAAAGGTGGATAAAAATGAGATATGATCTAAAAAACCAGTTTTCGAGCTTGCATATTGTCAGATGCACTTTTTTATTAGAGGCAAAGCTTTGAAATTTTACGATACAAATAGGTAACGATATCAAAAAAATCTCAAAATCATGAAAGTATTGCCAACTCAATTCCAATACGACAGATAACAAAGGTTTATTACCGTTCATCATCGCCATCTGTGATCAGTGAAATTCTCCTGCATTTCTTGTCTGGAACTGTGGCATTGTCACCAGCTAAGCCAATACAGGAGCCCAATGGTATCAGCAGTTGTAAAAAAGAACTGATAGTTGTTTACGACCTCGGCTCTCCAGCAAACATATTTTGCCTACTGGATTTTCATCTCGCTGTGGAACAATTCTTAGTGTTAAAGTTGGCTTTGATCAACAGATTTCTTGCGTGCTTCACTTGACTCGATGAAGCTGCTGAGTTTCAGGGACATGTCCTTCTGCTGTTCTGTAAACGTGCTTGAAAAGCTTAAGACTTCAGGTTTCTTTGGCAACTAAAGCGATTACATTTTCCTTTCTCAGTGTTGAAATCATCGTCATACGGACGGAATGGTTGGTGTGTCTGCCTGTCAATTCGGCGGAATCACTCATAGATTTCATAAATGAAACTAGCGAATTTTTTCCTAAGAGGCTGTTTCTTGAACCAGATTATGTGATGATGGCTGAACAATGGTTTCCAGATAAACAGGGAATCTGCCATGGCTTATTCAGGCGGTGGTTTTGTCAGATATTCTTTAAAGATGCTCACAGGACAACGAGGTCCGCCAGTAGCGTACATTTTGGGATTGAACATGCGGTCAGGAACAAATTTGTGTTCTTTAGTGCGAGTCTTGCTTCCACGTACAGTTAGCCACTCCTTATGCTTTATTCTTTGGGAGCCGTCTTCGTAACTATCTTTACGTCTCCAAATTTTACTCGGTAATGTTCGTCACTAGCTCTCTAGCCAAGAATAAGATTTTGTGAAAACAGACTGTGCGTAACAGGCTTTGTGTTGTATGGCATTCATGTTGTTTCTCCTCCCGCGGCTTGTTAAGCTGAGCTGAGCTTGATCCGAGGGCTTTGCTTCGCTTTTGGCATTTGCCGGTACGGCTGAGCTGTTTCTGCTTTGAAGAAAAGAGCTTCTTTCACTTCTGCGAACTGTTTGTCCGTAAGTAAACTGAAATATTTTATTTTGTTTCCACCACACAACAAATAACACAGTAGTGTACACCAAATAAGTTATAAGAGAACCAACCCGAGGCATATATAGCCCGGGGAATGCATACATACATATATTCGCAACTGATATACCATATACAATCCTGATATACAGTCGATTCCTTACACATTAAAAAAAGGTATACATTACTAACATGCAAACTTCACCAAGTCTGGATTAACAGAGATGGGCAACCGCTTACAAGGACATAACTACGGTTATACAGAGGCCAGAAAAAACCTTCCAGAAAAAACCCCTTTGGGGAAAAACATGACAGGAAATCTGGGTAGGAACCATGGCCCAAACTCAGAGCAGTTGGCAGCCCATCCTACGAGGCTTCACAGCTAAAGAAAATATGTTTCAAACTAAAATAAATTTGTCATCAGCCAGAGGTGAACGGTTGGCTCTGAGGCCTAGATGGACATCACGTGCTATACTTTCCCTTATATACCACTGCATCATTACCCATGATGCTCGGGCCTAAGGCCCAGGCCTTGTCGTATCTCGTGCCGACAAAATATTTATTTCTGCCTTATTCGCAGACTCATTCGTCAGAAATACCATTCTTTGTCTCTTAAGAAGCGATCGAAACTACGTAATATACTAGTAAGCGTATTAGGTTCATATTCGTCCCCGTTTTGTTTACCTATGTTTTCAAAAAGTGAGCCAAAAGTTGTCCAGTTCTTTCCCTGGTATGTTATCAAGAGTTCTCGTTTCGTTCACAGATTTTGCCCATCTGTAAAACTCGTGTAGGTCTTTTTGAGTCTTTTTGATTGTGCTTTTGTTTTTGTTTACAGTAATAAAATTGTCAATGGTTTCGTCGTTTACTTTTCCGCTTTCTGTCTGTTCTGTTATTCAATCTGTTTTTGTTAGGAGCTCGTCATTTAAAAATTCAAGTCCAAAGGACTCAAAAAAGTAAAAAGAAGGCTCGTCAAGTGCGGTCACTATTGGTTTCGTCTTTTCTGTCTGTATTGCTATAAACTGGTCAAACCGGGACACTACATTATCTTACCGTGGCATATTTTGCGCGATCTCATGACCTTAATTGGTAAATGACATACCAGGGAATTAATAAATTAACGTCAAACAAAATTCGTTGTAAGACATCACTTTAAGAAATTAACGCGATCCTATAAAACACTCAGAATTTCCCAACTGTTTTTGGATGAATTGGAGCTTCAATGTTCATTTCTAAAAGAAAACTGCAGCGCTCAAGTATTACGTTTAAGGTGACTCCAATACTTCGGAGCAATTATCATGAAATAACTGAATTTTTATTGTGTTGCCACTTTGCGTTCACCGGTCAACTTAAGTATTTACAAATAATAGATCCTTTCCTAGTGATGTCATTATACATCGAGATTCCATTATTTTAGAGCATTCGGGGCCATGAGTGCTGTCAATATGACATTGTTGGCCATACATTTTTTCTAAGGAAAACTGAGGATCCACATCAGTTTCGTGTACCATTGCTCTTGGCTCACAGGCTTTAAGCTCCTCAAGTACCGGCTGCGATTCCTGCGAAGCGTCGTCGCTATGTGATTGAGTCGGATGATGAAAATGAAATGTAGGTTTGGTAATCTTTTTTGTTTGCTTAGAGCTCATCCATGTCTTTGAGAGTAGATTCAAAGCTTTGTTACGGGCGATAAATTAGTCATTACTTTTCATTGATCAACGAACACTTTTGTACCTGCAGTACTTTCAAATGTGTACGATTTGAAAACAACGATCGGAAACAAAATTCAACTTTTAATCATTTAGAAAACTTACATGACAAAAGTTGACCTCTCATGAGCCAATCTGACGCGTGAATTACGCAAGACCTGTCACGAACTGTTTTTCTGTTTGTTTCGCTTTTCCCGAAGAGGAAGTGAATAAAGAATAAAGCAGTTCGATAATAAATAACTAATTAGCATTTTTGTTGAGTAGTGTTGCTGAGTATTTTTACAAGTTGTGCCGTATTTGATGAGCACTCAGGGCGAGTCAAAATACAGTACAAAGTAAAACATACAACACAAAATACAACATACGGCACAAAAAACACAATACAAGATACAAACAACTTGTAAAAATACTCAGCGATACTACACATCAAAACGTCTAATAAGATATATATACTGCGTAATATTATTAAGTATTTAAGAAGAAATCAAAGTTTATTTTGAAATTTTACCTTCTTTATTACTAAACAACTGTATGAACTCACACTTGGAAGGACTAGGTCAGATTGCTCATTGCAGATCCTGTGTGGCTGTTTATAAAGGCACCACTAACTGGGTTGTCAATCTAACACAGTACAATTTTTGTAACCCTTAACCAATGAATCAAACTGAAAAGCATGGGAATAGTTCCAAGCATATATTCCTTCAAGTTATTTACTCTCTCTCCACGATCACTTTCTTTCCTCTTTTTGAATTCTTGAGTATTACAGGTTACGACCTGACGCAACAAAAATTTCACCAGTACCATAAAATTTAAAGGAAAATATCGTCAGACCTAAAATAAACTAAGTTAGAAATTTACGCATAAATGATCGTATTGATATCGTTACCTAAAAACTAAATAAACTACCGCCTTCTTCCATAAATTCAGAAAATAAAAGTGTATTAGGATGATTATAGAATACAGTAGAACCCCGCTAACTCGAACTCGGTGAACTTGAAGAAGCTGAAACCTTAGCATGTTTGTCTATTATATTAAATTGCGGCTACAGCTGTAATAATGGAACTTTTATGATAAATGCACTATTCCCAAATAGCAAAAAAACCAAGTTGTTCGTGATAGCTTTAAAAATAGGTACTGTATCGTCAGCTTAAACATCTTCTCACGGGAGAGCAAAAAAATTCTTGTTCATATGGGAAAAAGTGATGATTGAAAAACGTCAAAGATTAGACAACTATCATCGGCCACCATTTCTCAATTCCAATAACCAAATATCCATTTTCAGTGAGGAGGCATCTTAGTTTACTGGATGGAAAAGTCGCTGAACTGTAAACTACCGTCGGCAGGAAGCCGATCAAGACATGCTGAGTGACCCGGCGTGGGACATTTGGGAAAGACTCCCGATTTGTATACACCTGACGATGAATGTTGTACATGATGGTATATCTCTGGCCCGTAGCGATTCCGCATGGAGAGTCCTGGGTTACGAAAAGCATTCAACCACATACCAGCAAACTTGACTTTTGTTGGCTTTTGACCGCTTGCGACAAGTTCCGCGCTCTGAAAGATATCGTGACCATAAAGTTCGAGTTTCCATCCGTTTTTATATAGTAAAATAGCACCCAAGACCTTATGACCGTTCCTCCATCCCTCTGTTCTTTCTGAAATAACTCTGTAACCGGCTGCTTTGAATCTTGGAATAAGCCCGAACATGGCCGTAAAGTTATCATTAGGGAAGTGAATGTCTGCATCAAGCTCCCACGGTAAAACTCTCTGGAACTTAACAGCACCTAGAACAGAAGCAAACTTAGTTCAATAAATTTAGGCAGGTTTATAATCTCTTGATTTAGGTCAGATATAGGAAAAAAAATAAATGAGTTTTTCAAAAGCAAATGGAAGAGTCGCCTTCCATCTACATCTCTCTAAAAGTTGGTCTTACATTCGGGTTCGTAGAACCAGTGACCAAAAAAAATAATATTTCAAGAATTTTCCATCCTCATAGAATCTTTTTAAAAACCACCACTTCTTTAGATGGTAGTTATGAAAGTGACATTTGCATAACATTCGTAATTAAGGTTGTAATTTCGTACCAAATGTTAGAATTCTAGTCCATGTAAGTTATGTTAGCGTTGTGGAATATTTGACAAATGACCCCTTTAGAAAATTTTAAAAAAAGATAAAATAAAACAACAAATAATGACAACAAATTTAAAAAAAAAATGGCCACACAAGGAACTCACAGGATTAAAACAAAACCTCCCTCGTAGAGTAGGAGGTCAGGTGTCACATTACCTAATTGTGATCCTTCATTTAACTCGCACAAAAGCCCTGCGTTTTCACACTCTTTCATGACAAATTTGATCATATCTGCGAGATTCTCCAAATCACAAGGAGGGACAAGGAGTCCTGACTGTTTCCTACAACTAGCGGTGTTATCATTGGGCCGCCCGCCTCTCCTACAGCCATACCAGCGGACCGTTCCGTCGGAATTGATCCATTTTTTGACATCCCACTTGTTAGCCAAGGCCACATATTTTTCATGCGGAATTTCCTGCACGTGAGTCTCAAACATAACGTCTGGACAGCTGACAACAACTTTCTCTGGATGTTTCAGTTTTATTCGCCAGAAAATATCAAGAAAGGCACCAAAAGGCAGTCTAGGAAAGAGAATGCAATAGAAGAGGTCAAAAGCTTTTTCAGTTGATAAGAATCGAATCCTACTTGGATATATAAGAATATCAGTTGGTGTTCTCTCGTTAAATATAAACGTCCAGACTCACTTTTCATCAAATCCAAGTTCCTTGAGTTCTTTCGTTTTCGCCATAAATGGACCTGGAAGCACGTCACACACTAAACAATCAGTAAACGAGCGATAATAACCATCCATAAAAAAAGCAACCCAGTTTCTGAAATTCACTTGAAAACAGCCCTTGTCCCATTCGCCACGTTGATTTTTGTGACTTCCTCCTGCAATTATTGTATCTTTGTTCTCGCTGAGCACCCGAATGAGTCGCTCAACATTTACATCATCAGTGAAGTATGTAATATCCGGTGCAAATAGTACATAGGGCGTGGATACTGTTTTGAGTAACATCGACCATGTTTTTCCGTGAGTTAGGTCATCGAATACCACGTTGGTTATGTTTGACCCGAATTCTTTTAAGTTTACATTTGTCTTCGACTTGGACACAAACATTACTGGTACGCTTGGATAATAGTTTACGATGCCTTTAAAAATGTTTTGTAAATTTTCGGTCGAGATCTCTTCAGGTGATGTAACAATCATGGTCACAAGCTGGTCCAGTGGAACATAGTCTGAACAATTTACTCGGTCGAAACCTTTCCTAAACCGAGGAAACACGTACTCCCAACTCGGTGCCATGAATTTTTCAGCGCAAACCTCTCTCTTTGGCAAAGAATTTACGGAAGACCTGTCCGCTGAATTATCTTTTTTCAGATCATCAGTTAAATTCACATCAATGGATATTATTAACTCCTTTACAAGTTGAATATGTTTTTCTAAACGGTAAAAAAGTAATTGTGAATGTTGTAAGCTGCGCTGTGTCTCGGAGAGTTCTTTTGCTAACAGCCTTAACTCCTTAGTGGAGTAGTGCTTCTTCTCACTAGCTGGGTTCGAAGGCTTGTGGAAATGTCTTATAGAATCAGTCCAAAGACTGGATGAGAGCCAAATCCCCAAGGTAATGTATGGTATTATAACTAGTACGGCTGAGATGAAACTCCGTTGGATTGGATTCATTGCAACAATATTTGTAGCTTGAATTGTTGAAATGATGTGGCTTCCACACTTTTGATTTTTTAGAGTGTTGATAATCTTATTCCGAAAACGTCAGTTACGAAAGTCTGCAGGAAAAAAAAACAAAACAAAACAATAACATGACGATTTAATAAATATATATATATATTCAAAAGGTAGAAAAGAGAATACAGGTGGTTTCATTTCTTTAAACAGCTGAAAATTGAAAACATTTCCCCTGAAGAGCTGCAACAAACCGCATGCACATCATATATGACTACAGGGAACATGTCAAAGGCAAAATGATTTATTTATCACGTAAAACTCTGTGTCAATGTTTAAACCTTATCTTCTCTTCTTTTTTGAGTAAAACTGGATGAAATTTCTTATGGTTCTTTTTCGACACGTGAAGGCGTGGAGTGAAAAAACGCCATGTTAATACTATCGCTCTTGCGTGTGAAATTACTCATGCGAAACTCTGTATGTGAAACTGACAATCTTGCCCCATCTCTGCATATTTCACAGGTATACGAATTTCTCTCTTGGTACTGTGGAAGTACTCTTTCCAAAACGAGGGCGAGTGTTTCATCATGGCATCCAAACACCAAGAAATAAATGTAAGCAAGGCACCATAAGCCGAGTACTTCTGTTTTTGCGAGGTCTTCGGATACCCAAATGAAATACGAGCTCGAGTTTTGGAAATAACTTCAAATTCTTAAACAGATAATAAACAAAGACTAAGACGAAAAAGGGTTTTAACAAGGAGGAATAACAGGTGTCACCAACAACTTTGCATCTTACACATTCAATGTTAGTGATGACGGAAAAAAAAGCTTCAACACATTCACGCCGTACTTCATGTGCAGTTAAGGGACATGGCACCAAACTACAAGTCTGTTCCTAAGGAAGACTTTAAACCCCCTTATATTAACGTCGGTTCTCTGACCCCGGTGGGCATCAAAGTTGCTGAAGTTTGTTTAATCTACATTCCCTTTGACTGGTTCGAGCCTCGGCCATAATAAACTATGTCACGTGACCAAAATTAAAAACGTATCTCGTCAGATAAATTGGATCGTTTTTGCATTACCTTCCGCTAAAAATCTTCAATATCGAAAGTCTGAAGCATGCAATTGATGAAAAGTGAAATATAAGTTATGGACCCATAAGTAGCTGTAACTGGACTTTTTCCATGTTCCAGATTTTGCAACATGTCAATCTCTTTCCGCTCCACGAAAAATCCTGACTGAGATTTTTAACAACTGCGCGACTGTTTCCATTTTGTCGCTCGTCTTTTTACAAGGATACCTGTGGTAGCCCAGTCATAAAATGCCTTTGTTTTTTGTTTTTTTTTTTTTCCTCCGCCAAAAAATGGAAAAATTTGCGCAATAGTACCCAGAGGTCATTGGGCCCTCAACACCATGACAACTAACTGTGATCCAATGGGGTGTTCACATGCTGATCACGCATGTTATCTTGATAATGATAAACGTTGTCATGCACAGACAGGGCCAGGTCACATGACGAATCACGAGATTCTGCTAATAAAACTCTTTGGTCATTTATTTTGTATTTCAACGTATTTGGATTGCGATCTCCTGGAGCATTATGGCGCAAACGCGCAAAATACTTACAGACGCATATACAAGTCGTATTAATCGCGGCTAATCCACACTGAAAGATGTTATTGAGCGGTAATTTTGGAACAGATTGAGTCGCGAACGCTTGAAAGCCATGAAAGCCTTGAATGCCTTGTATGCTGAGTATGCCAATGTCTTAGTTGAAAAACGTTCACTTGTTGTAAAAAGCAAAATCTGAAATCTGAAACCAAACTGCAAATACTCTATGCAATCTATTGAACAACACTACTACCGTGAGACTGAAGAACATAACTATAATAAGTGCAAACTGCTTGTGAAGAAAGACGACATGTTGGATTCACTTGATGGCAAGGAACGTGGCTACGATAACAGTACGAATGGTATTAATTTCACGATCAGAAAGGTGGATCTTATGTTTGTCTTCATTGTAGTTGTATGGATATTCTTTTTTAATAAATACGTGATCCAAAACCCCGTGTTTTTTTGTGTATAATGTCATTATGTTAAATATTGTTTACGCAACTGTCTTGTCACGGGCAGCCCAAGGTCACGTCTCGAGAAAAAGCCAGCTATTAAGAGAGTGTCTCTGTAAGAGCGGTCCGGTCGATTTTGCTTGAGACACGGATTTCGCTCGTTTCTCGTGTGTTGTAAGACATTCATGTACCTATACTAAAACCACAATCATTTTGCTCGGATCTCTTTATTTTTCAGAGTTTTACGGAAATTAAATTTCACTCGAGCGAAGGCTTGTCGTGACACTTTTCAAGACTTTAATTTCATACAACTTTGGAGGACAATTTACGAAAAACTACGGAACTCAGCAAAAAACAAATACCACAGCCGTGTATATTAACTCTATCTTATCTATCGAGGCGACTTTCATAAACATCACGTTTCAATCAAGGAAACAGGGAGACTTGAATGACACCTTATCGGTTCGCCTAAATCAAAGAGGCCAATACCGATCAAATTCAAGGAAAATTTTTGAAAAAGTGAGGCGTTCTTAACTGATCCAACTAACATAGCTAGGAAGTAGGTGCCATAGAAAAGGTAACTACAGAAAAAAACTTTGCGGCCCGACCTTTACGAGAACTTTATAGCTCCGTGAACTTACCTAATTTTCGGCAATCTCCAAGTTTGGCCGCCATTTTGAGGGACTTGTCAACATGAAGCGTAACCGATATAAATCAAGCAGGTAAATCTAAAACCGTCAGAAATACATACGAAAGCAATTCAAATGAACTTTACTTTCAATTCAAGCGGCAAAATTTGAAATTGTTTGTTAAACTTACCATCCCCATGCGACCATTTCTTTCAACAATTCAAACACTACAACTTTCTGAATTCCCCTCGTCGATTCCACTGCAAGAAATAACCTGTGCCACCCAAGCTTCGACTCGAATATGAAGTACGAATCAAGTAACATAACTGCTTCATCTTCGAGCAGATATGTCACGTGACAAAAATAGATAACAGAAAATGTTACTGAAGACTACCTGATTCAACTGGAATAATAACTCCAAACAGCTTTTGAATGTCCTGAGACATATGCAAGGTAATTACATCTCTGCCTTGGATACGCTTCCTGACACCATCATGACCGGATACTGACATGTTACCTTTGCACTTCTCCAAAACTTCCCCAGAGTGTGGCGATGCCTATAGCAAATCCACATTTTTTGTTTATCCTCCTGAGCGAGGTGAAATAGGTCAATCCTTGCCAAGATTAGCTCATTTTCACTTAAAAACCTCTTTAGACAGGTGGCAGCTTATCAAATGATGTTTTACTTCGTCATTGCATTCAGACAGTCATACTAAACCACTTAAGCCACACGATGAACCAAAGTTTTTTCCATCTTTGCTATTCAAAAAGCAGTCCTGAGACATAATGAACGTCTCGCTAATGAACGACTTCTTCCTGTACTTGTAATTGTTCCCAACGCGATACAAGTTCGGGAGATCTAAAGGATCTCACTATAACTTTGTATATTCGATACGATTTCAATTTCCGCGTCAAAGGAGAAGCCTACTGTAATTCGTGAGTGGTCAGTGGTTACGCTCGTGAGGTAAAGAATGGGTTTGTGACTTTCGCACTCAATTGAAAGACTCACGTCACTCTTATGAAATGGTTGAACGGAATACAGACTTCGAGCAGTCTCTTATTTTTCTTAAAGATAGTGAGGTCACGCGTATCCTGTGAGCATGGTGAAGCCGCGAGACGCGATACTGGTATCTCGCGTCTTCGCCGCTCCACGCTCTCAGAGTTGGGCAAAGACAAGACAAGTTATTTCCGGTGCGATACAAGAGGTTCAATGGTTATTTACGTGGTAAAGATTTGTTTTTTAATCTATGAATTGATGCTAGTCCTATTTGGAACGAAATGTATTTGAAATAAAAAAAGAATACTAAGTAAAACAAAAGTTGTCTGCAACACGAAGCATGCCTTCTCATTAAGACTGAGAATCCTAATGTTTATCATGATACTTTAATGCATAAGTTCGAATGTTCCCAAAAATCTTCTGAGAATCTGCCCGCACCCACCCCTCACCCCGCCTCTCGCCACTGAACCGTACTGTTTTCACTCAGCAGCTGGTCAGCGGTCACGTTTATGAGGTAAACAAACCGATCGATTCGCGTTAATTTCCGTAAAACTTTGAAAAATAAAGAGATCCGATCAAACTGATTGTGGTTTTAGTATAGGTACATGAATGTCTTACAACACACGAGAAACGAGCGAAATCCGTGTCTCAAGCAAAATCGACCGGACCGCTCTTACAGAGACACTCTCAATTGATGAACGCGTCACGCATTGTGTGACTCGGTGTTAAGGTATCCGGTCACTCCGCAAACATGTCACTTCGCAAACTGTCAGTTCGCAAACGTCCTCGGTCGATTCGCAAACGCATCCCAGTCGATTCGCAAACGTAATATGAATCAACGAAAATCAACAGAAGAGAATCACGTTACTTTTAATCATTATAAATGATGAATTGATTGCGTGACTCGACTGATCGACGAGCAATGTAGAAAAATACACGCACAGTATCACTTTATTAAACCACTAAATGATCTACTAAACTATTCTCTAGTATTTACAAATATTTACAAATGTGATGGTTTCTGTGTGATTGACGACAACCGTGTAAGCTGGAACGCACGAAGTGAAGACAGGGTATTGAATACATATCCAAGATAGATGTAAAAGAGGAACAAGACACAAATTTACATCTATCTATGCTTCGATCGAAACCGCCTTAGAGTTGTTGAAGAATTAGACGTATTAACTGCTAAACGCTAATAATAATGTACAACTACTTAGTTTTGCACAGCAACAAGAAATGTATTTGATTTGAAGGCAATAACAGTCCCAAAGAAAGAACACTGTGTCGGAGGAAAAGGAGGATT